GTTGTGACACTAAATACATACATATGTATGTATGTATGTATGTATGCACGCACATGCGCACACACACACACACACACACACACACACACATATATTTTGAGCAGAGTACTAAGTGTATACAAATAAACATTGAATAATCATTTTAAAATACGCTTGTGCCAAAACTGAAAAAGGAATATATATATGCAGTTGTGAAATATGCCAAAAGTTACTTCAGTAAGAGTTTTCACGATTCTTACAATACTTTGATTACTTTTAATAACATCATTAGGGATGAGAATTTACAGAGGTTGAACTTGCTTCAAGGATATCAACTGGCCAAGTAAATATGATACTCAGTGAATGATGTCTTAAGTTGACTAAGCCTTAAGAAGGTTGTTTTTATGACTTTGGTTTTTATGTGTATGCTTTCTAGATTTTTAAATTTGTATTTTTTTAAAAAATTAGCAGTAAACCTTACATTTTAGAATGCTCATGTCTTATTTATTTATTTATTTATTTATTTATTTATTATTTTTAAAATTTATATGCCGCCCAATCCCGAAGGACTCCGGGTGGCTTACAAAAAAGAAGAAGAGGAAGAAATTTTTTTTAGAAAATGACAGATTTAAAATCACAACACATGCATTCGTTCAATCGGGGCTGGACCTCAACAATGAGGTCAACAGCCCCAGGCCTGCCGGAATAGCGAGGTTTTAACAGCTTTCCAAAGGGTCGGAGCAGCCACAGAGAAGGCTCTCCTCCGGGGGCCCGCCAGCTGACATAGTCTGGCTGAGGGCATCCGAAGGAGGCCCAATATGTGGGATCTTACCGGCCGCTGGGAGGTATGTTGCAGTAGGCGGTCTCGCAGGTACACTGGCCCTAAGCCATTTAAGGCTTTAAAGGTAATAACCAACACGTTGAATTGCGTCAGGAGACCAATTGGTAGCCAGTGCAGCTCGCGGAGGATAGGTGTAACGTGGGTGTACCTCGGTACACCCAATATCGCTCGTGGACTAGCTGCAGTCTCCGAACGCTTTTCAAGGGTAGCCCCATGTAGAGCGCGTTGCCCCCTGACCAACACCAACTGCGACCTGTCAGATAGGTAGGAGGAGAACCACCGTAAAATGGTACCTCTTACTCCCACCTCCTCCAGCCGTCGCAGAAGGATACCATGGTCGATGGTATCGAAGGCCGCTGAGAGGTCAAGAAGCACCAGGATAGAGGAATGCTCCATGTTTCAATAATTGATTTGCTTTTTCTTCAGTTGTTTAAAAAAGTTTTCCAAAAATAATTGCTGACTACATTGTAAACAGATCATTTGATGTGGTATGTAATTTGCTGTATTTGTGGTAATCATATTCATATATTGAAATTGAAATTTAGTTTTATTTGGATGCATTGAATCAGTGAAACTCAATTTAGTATTACCTAACTTAACTCTCACTTATTTCAGTATGATCTGCTCTGAGTAAGTTAAATCCAAATTTCTCTGAAGTTGGTTTAGAAAATCTGAGTTTCTTTGAGATTTGTATTAATTATAATATATTAATTTGAACTATATTTCCAAGCTTAGTGTGACTTTTCAACATCCTAGGTAGTGGAAATGTTTGATGTTCCCAATAATCCTACGCAACTAGAATACAAATACTACTTTCTTTCTGTGAGTTATGCTGAAGGAGATGATAGCCCTGCCACTGCAGTTTTACTCCAACAATATAAGTCAAATATTGAAGAATTGGTTTTGGACACAAAAAGTAGCAAACAAGCAAAAAGTGGCACAAAACGCAAGGTATGGATTTGATCATTAGCATTTAGTACTTTCAGTGGATAAGAAATAAATTATTTCTCTTAGCTGAAAAAAAAAGTTGAATACTGAAACATTTCACTTAATTAGATAAATGAGTAGCTTATGATGACAAAGAATAAATCTGCTAAACTGTATATCTCTTTTTCTGAGACAAGATAGAAAATGTGTTTGAAGGAGCATCTTAAATATTACCTCATGTAATAATTAAGTCGGCTATATTTCTAGTGTTAGGCACTGTTTAAACATAAATTAATAATTTCTTTATAAAAGTGTACTTTCAGGTTATTTTTTTAGCACTATTTGCATCTACAAAAACTTATAATCGTTTAGAACATTTTACACTCTTAAGTGCTGCAAGCTTGCTTGTAATGTTCTTTTTAATATACTCAAGCTCAAAATGAGCACAATTGATTGGACATTTAAATTAATGTTTAATATTTGTTTCCAAGTAGCACATATAGAAGTATAGTCTAAATATAGTGGGCATGAATTCTGAATACTTTGTATGAAACAAGTAAATTTACTACTATGATTTCTATTACTTGTGATTTACATTTTATTCTACCTTTGTGTTTGAAAGAATATGTATCTTTTAAAATATTTTTCTGCTCTTTTGTAGTTGTGTGATGAACTGTGCCCCACAGAACCAAAAAAACCAAAACAGTCTGGAGAAATGTGTGCATTCAATAAAGTTTTAGCTCATATTATAGCAATGTGTGATACAAATATGCCCTTTATAGGACTCCGCATGGAGGTAAGTAACAAATTGTATTTGCTGAATTGAAACAGTTAAAAAAAGGGATTGTCTTTAAAGTACCCAACTTAAAAAACAGGAAGAAATAAGACTGGCTTGTAATTTATTTTAAACCATAATATGATTTAACTGTTTTTGATGTAGTATAATATGAAATCGAAACTTGACAGTAAATCAGGCCATAGCAGCTTGATAAAACCCCCAAAAAAATCTTTATCCAATATTACATGTGAAGAAGGTTGCAGCAGCAGCAGTTGTGACATGAGATGAGAGAACCCTTGACCTGCACTTCTTAAATATGCTGTCTATTGCTTTAAGCAAAGATTTAGGTTTTGATCAGAATTTGAAGTATTTAATCATAGACTAACAGTGTGTGTGTGTGTGAGAGAGAGAGAGACAGAAAGAGTAGATAATTGATTACAATATGATTGAAAAGGAGTCTAACTTCTGCCCAACCTTTATCAGAAGTTGCCATTGGAAACAGTTATGCTTTTTTTCCTGTGTAATAAAGTAATTTGCTGTATCTATAGATGTTATATTTTTGTTCTCATTTATTGCTGTATCTATGTGTGTGTGTGTGTGTGCATACAGGAAAACCTTTTCCTGAGTCATAGGATTGAGAATTTGGGCCTTTGAATGGAGGAGTCACCAGTATTCCAAGCTATTGCTCAATTACTTCTCTCATAGGGGACCATTGAGAGAATGGGGAAGTGGGGGAGGGATTTCTTCTCAGCCTGTAGCCTGACCTAGTCTATTTTTTAACCGTCTTGGTGGTTTGTCCCTCCACACTGAATATGCCCATCACAATTCAATAACCACCGTCCCTTTTCAGTGTGCCTTTGTTTAGGTGGCCATCTGACTACATTAGCCTTCTTTGATGTAATATTGTCTTATATTGTAAATATTTTAGATGTTAAATGTTAGGTAACTATTTTATCCTACAGAGAATTAAATACAAAATTCAACATTGTTGTCCCATATATGCCTTGTTTCTGATTTTATGTGTTTTTAGTATGAGATTGATTAATGCAATGTAACAACTTGAAGCAATTGCTTCACTCATTTTATATGTAAAGAGATGACCTCTCCCTGGTTGGATTTTATTTCTTGCAGTAGTTACTACAAGCTGAAAGATTCATATATGTGACAAATGATACTATGCAGCTTGAATTTTAATTTTCTATGATAATACAAACTTAAATTTATTAAGTTTTTTTTTTTAATTTCAGTTATCCAGTATGGAGATCCCACATCAAGGTGTCCAAGTTGAAGGAGATGGTTTCAGTCATGCTATTCGTTTATTAAAGTAAAAAAAATTAATGTAAAATTCCACTTATGCTTAGAATATTCTATATGGATCAAAAGGAAATTATATAATATTTCAAAGAATCATTTTTTTCATTATTTCCACATTAGTATTTATATTGTGAATTTGTTTTTATGATAATTGTACAGCAACTCCCCCTCCCATTTTAAGTATAAGAATATTGTTCTTTATTCCTGAGGAAAACAGAACATGCGTACAAGCGCTGGCATTTAGGTGTATATCTTCATGGAAAACATAGTTCTTAAGGAGTACGTATTATTCAAAGGTATTATTAAGCCTAATGACTTTCAGATTTTAACTGGCCATTTTGACCGACTTTCATTCTTATAAAAACACTTTACAGGAAAGCTAGTCTGAAGGTTTTCAAAGTCTTTCCAGAATCTGACTTTATTTTTAGTAGGTTGCAAATTTTATTGTATATTAAAAAAAAACCAATCAGTTTGCATTAAATCTTCCAATTCTGGCCATACCTTATATATTAGTACTATTTAGTAAAGTCACAAATGCATTATTTAGATTGAAAAAACTAATTTGCATACTTGCATTTCTTAAATTGAATGCTTTCTTTCAGAGTTTGAAAGAATTAAATAAATCTCAGTGTATTGTTGTACCTTGAACTTCTTTCACAGAATCCCTCCATGTAAGGGTATTTGTGAGGAGACCCAGAAGACTCTGGATCGTTCTCTTCTTGATTGTACTTTCCGATTGCAAGGTAGAAATAATCGTACATGGGTGGCTGAACTGGTGTTTGCAAACTGCCCGCTTATCAGCACTTCTTCCAGGGAACAAGGTTAATTTCTCACTTGTTCTGCATATTTCCATTCCTCTTATACTTTTTGAGTATCAAATTGGCCTCTCCCTTTCATTTTGCAGGACCAACTCGTCATGTTTATCTGACATATGAAAATCAGTTGTCTGAACCAGTTGGTGGCCGAAAAGTAGTTGAGATGTTTCTAAATGACTGGAATAGCATTGCCCAATTATATGAATGTATGTTGGAGTTTGCTCGATCTTTGCCAGGTATATAATGTCTTGTATACATTATATAATTGTTTCATTCTTGTATTGATATAGAAAAGAAGCAGGCCGCTTTCTGTTGACCTACTGGCATATTTAGAATGAGAATGTCCTGTGGGCAGTCACACAGACTGGCCTTGAAGCAACTAATATATTCACAAAATGACTGCCAAAGGAGATGTAGTCAGTCACCAATCCTTGATTTTTCAAAGACAGCCTAGTACATTTTTAGTCCAGTGAAAATTTCTTTAACAGTCGTAAGTTACCTTGGTTGTTTTTATGAGAAGCAGATATGGACAAACTTCCAAACAAAGCACCACACTAAGGTGATTAATTGCTTTTATTTTCTGAGAATGCCTTTGAGGTCCTTGAGAGGTGTCCTTGAAAATAAAAAAATTTTTAGAAGCTGTTAGTTGTAGCAGGTGTTATCTCCTATTCATTCCTTTTCTGAATTTGGAAGCTAAGTGTGATGAAGCCTGGTTAATTCTGGAAAGGGACATGTCTGAGGTACAGGCTAGACCATGGGTATCAAACTCATGGCACCACGTTACCATCAAATGATGTTTGGTGATGTTTTTTCCATTCATGGAGCTGGGGTGGGTGTGGCCTGCGCATGACATATCTACCAGTTTGACACCCCTAGGCTAGACTAAGAAAATGAAAATCTAAACAACTACTGTCCTGCTGACAAGAAAACTAAATTAATGTGCCTTTGAGTAATTGGGAATCTTACTGACCAGGTTGGGAATTATAACTTCTAGGAACTATACTGCTTTGTTTTAAATTAAAAGAAACTAAATATCATTTAAAGGGCATCTACATTTTATTATTTTTCAGGAGTCATTCCATTCAGGCTTTCAGATAGGATGTTAACTGTTTTGATCACTACTGTTGAAAACCTGGGTCATTGTTTTACATGCTTAAAGTTTGAGATGGGATTATGCATTTCAGAAGCCAGATGTACAGCCTGGAAGTACATTTGACCTTCAGGTCTCAGTGAAATTAAATGTGGCAGTTCTGGTAAAGAACAATTTTGCATTATTATCCCAGCAGCAATACATTCTGACTTGATCAAATCAGATCAGATCAAGATTTGGTAATGGTTACCCACAGATTTGAGTACTGATTACGTACACTGTGGTCACTGTAGTGCACTCCACATGAGAAGTGCCTGGAGTTGTAATTGATGCAAAATGCAGCAGCCAAAACTGAGCTGAAAGATCTGCTCAAATTTTAAAATTGCTTACCAAGCACTATTTAATAAGTTGGTATTGACTTAAAGCCATAAATGGCATAGAACCTAACTATTTAAGAGCCCTCTTCTTCCTTTATGAAACTATTCAATTCTTAACAAATACAAAGATATTCCTGCTGTCAGAAGCCCTTCTTCTGGCATGTTCAAGAAGACTGTTTTTTCCTTTCCTACCAATCTGTGGCACATTTAGGGCATGCATTCAGCTCTCACTCTTTCACTGTTTAGAAATTTGTATACATGTATCTTTTTCACCAGGATTTTAATTACTGTTAAATAGTTTGGGAGCCTATTTAATTATTACTTTTAACCTGTATTTTTATTTTATTTTATTTGGTTTTTTAAAAAAGTTATTTTCCTTAAGTGATTATCAGATTAGAAAGACAGGATATGTCAACTAAAGTGAAGTGAGGAAAAAAGCTGCTGGATGCCAAAGAAAGTGTTCTTAGAAACATTACTTTCCAGGAGTTTAATACTTTTTCTCTTTTTAAATATATATATATATTGTCTCCCTTCCCCTTTCTATTGTTAAGAAATACCAAGCCATCTAAATGTTTTCTCAGAAGTTCGGATCTATAATTATAGGAAACTAATTCTTTGTTATGGGACTACCAAGGGAAGTTCTGTAAGTATCTTTGATCTTTCTCTTAAAGCTATGTTAATATTGTATAGTTACTGTCTTTAAATATACTGTCTTATTTTAAACACAGTTATTAGGCTGCTACCATCCTTGCTAAGGGGTGTTCAGTATTATGGTCTTGTCTGTACTGGAATGGTAATTGTCTCTCCCCTGCCCTCCTTTAGCTTATCATTAGATATTTTCCCAAATTAACATTTGATGATAGCTAGCTATGTATGTTCGATTAGAATCTTGATTCTTCTGTACTGTATTTCCCTTAATAATAGTCTTAAGGTAAGGGGATTGTAAAGAAAAGATGTGAATTATGAATATATGAATAGTCAGAAAAGAAAGGACAAAAGTGGATAATAGTTTGTGTGTTTATGAATTAGGAATTCAGTCTCTACTCTCATTTTACATATTCTTTTCTATTAAGTTTATGCCACAAGTTATATTTTAATCAAATCAGAAAACTGCTGTGCAACAGACCAGATATAGCTTGCCATGCAAAGCATGGAAGGAAAGGAGTTTAGAGTTCATTCCTATAGTTCCATAATGACACTCCATAACTTCTGTGCTACCTAAGAACCTCTGATGCATTAGGGGTTGTACTGAATTCATATTTTACTGACAGAGAAATAAAGGTTATCTTTGTCGGTAAAATATAAATTCAACAAAAAATAGTTTGTCACAAAAGCGACTGCCTATGAAGGCTCCTGGATTGGGGCTAAAAGGCAAAAGCGGAAGCAGTAATCTCCATCCCATAGTTGGGTAGACCAAGTTGGCCTGACAGACTGGTCTCACTGGAAAAAACACATCAGTAGTTGTATTTTTCTGGCGTTTTCCAAAAATATGAATTGTTTAAAACCTTTTTTGTGTTAAAATAGTTAAATTTTCACTGAAGTATAGGAACTAGGCATTGACACATTTTGGGTACCCAGTGAATTCTTATTAATCAGGCAGCAAATATTATAACAAATTAGAGGTAGACTTACAGAAAAATAGAAATACAGATATTTTCTTGGCTTGGTTATATTCAGCTTTAAATAAACATAGAAATATTCATTTATTCTCAAACTTAAGCTAAAGAAGGGCATGGTGTCTATACGATACTCTTTATCTCCTATGTCTATGATGGCGAACCTATGGCACATGTGCCAGACATGGTACCAAAAACCCCTCTGTGAGGCCCGCTCCCTTCATGTTTCACTCAATCAATTCCAACTTCTTGCAAAAGAAAAAAATATCACAAAGTTGAAATTAATTGAGTGAACTTTTTCACTCGTGCGCTTCACAATGGAGGAGATTGGATCCCGTCTTACTGCTGAAGCCCATTATGAAGCAGAGCCACAATGCAACCCTATGTCGATTCAGCTCAGCAAAAAAAAAAAAAAAGCAGTTTCTTTTCCTGCAGAGCTGCCGGTGTTGGGATACCCCTCCTTCCCCGCCGGCTGTTGTGGTCCGCTGGCAGCTTACGGAGCTGGCAGCAGAGTTGGACAGTGAGGAGGTTGGGGAGGAATATGGGCCAGTCCTGGAGTCTGGGGAAGGCTCTCACGAGGGCTCTTCATCAGAGGCAGAGAGGGGGTCAGGGCCCTCTGGGAGTTATGTGCTGCCTCCAGAGTCTGACATCAGCGAGCCTGTTTCCAGTGCAAAGCTGCCAAAAGGCAAGAACAGTTAAGACAAAAGGAGCAACTCAAGAGTAAGGCTTGGAGTTGATTGGCCCCTCCCATAAGACATAAAAGAGGAACAAATGACATGAGCCTTTGCAGGAAGTAAATTTGTTCATTCTAATTGGTTTAATCTTTGAAGCTCTGTTTGACTCTGAGCTTCATTTGGCCTTGGTCTCTGGCAGCATTTCAAGAGAGATAAAGGTGGGCGCTTATCAGCATTTGCCTGAAAGACTGTTTGTGAATCATTATGGGCTGTGAATGAACATAATTCACAGCCATTTAAATAAAAAGAGGGGTTTGGGGACTAAGTGTGTGGTTTTTACTTTCTCCAAAGTTGGTGGAGACAGCGGTCATGCACGGGTTAACTCAGTCAGTAACCAATAGAACTGAGTCTACTAAAGTGATGTCATCGCCTCTGAGGAGCATGCTCCTGCTTTTTAAACTCAGTTCGATTGGAACTGGCTGTGCTAATCGCTCTCTCCTCAACTATTTCTTAAAAATTGGATAGTTTAATTGAATTTAATTGGATTTCTCAAAATTACAAAGGAAATTAGTCTGTCTAATTGATTCTTGGGTCTGGGCTCCAGTAAGGTCTCTCAATAGACTTTGGGGCTGGAGAGTGCTTATTGCGCCTAATTGCAGGCTTGCCTGTGAAAGCCTCTGGGCTTCTGCGGCTTCATATTTCAGCAGAAGCAGCTGAAATAGTTAGGGAGGCTCCAATCTCCTCAGTGGGGAAATCCCAGCCCCCTGCTTTGCCGCCTGCACCGCTAATTGCCGCCGCCACCTCCAGGAGCCTCTGAACGCTGCGGGGAGCCTCATTACTGCCGCAGAGAGCCGCCCGCCACTGGACGACAATGCGACTGCCTTCCCTATCATCGCTCCGGCATTCTACACGTCTGCAGTTTCTTCCCTGGCTCCTCGGCCTCTCTGCGGGGCCTAAAAACCCCCACGCTCACGACGAGGCCTCAACTACCTCATAGCACCGGCCCATAGGCTCTGTAGCCTCAGTGGCCGTTAATTTTGGCGCGAAGATCATCTGGTGGCCATTTTGAAAGGAATTGTGAGTACTGGTTATGGCCTCCTCTCCTCCTCTGGAGCCTCAACTACCTCCAGCTTCCTTGGCCCCTACCCCCATCGAACCCTCTGCTCCTCAGGGCCGCAGGCGCAGGCCTGCTCAGGGTGCCAACATAGAGCCCCCTCCCAGGGACCCCAGGCCTAATCAGGGGTGTGTGGAGGATCTATCTCTTCAGGAGGATGACAGGGCCCCTCAGGCCCTGACTAAGAAGGCCAGGTCTAAGACCAAAACGCTGAACCTCGCATATTCCAGGACCAAGGGCCTATTCATTCCAGTGCCCCCCTTCCTGATTTTTCTTTGGATTCGAAGGATGACCTCTCCCCTGCTGCATCCATCCTGCAGCCCGAGGAGGCTAGGGGCACAGACGCTTTAGCCAACAGTGGGGACGATTCATATTGTGGCAGGAGCATCACTCCTGATGAGGATCCCCTCTACTAGGAAAATATTTCTCCCACTCTCCGCCGGCGCCGTTCTTACTCGCCGGGCCGAGGTGGCGCAGTGATTAAATGCAGCACTGCAGGATACTTCAGCTGACTGCAGTTC